CGCTCTTCCGATCTAACCCTACACCCCTAAACCCCTAGACCCCTAAACCCCTAGACCCCTAAACCCTAAACCCTAAACCTTGAGCCCTAAACCCCTAAGGCCTTCATCATGGTAAGACTTTCCCGGGTGGACGCTCCAGGTATCATTTCAGTTTATGTCAGCGGTTAAGGGTTTAGGGTTGAGGGTTTAGGGTTTAGGGTTTAGGGTGTACGTAGGATGAAGAATCCCTGATATATGGGGTCTTAGTTGGGGATCATCCCAGCTATCTTCCTCCCAGCTGTTGGAGCCCTCTGACTATGGCTTGAGCTTTTGCCATATTTGGGGCTTCGGGCTTCGTCCGAGCTGGCTTTCGAGCTTTGGGGTTCAGGTCTCAAGGGGTTTTAAGTTAAAGTCTCGGGATATACCGTACGGTTTAGGGTTTAGGGTTTAGGGTTTAGGGTTTAGGGGGGATATTCTATAACCCTACACCCTACACCTTAGGGCCAAGTTTCAAGCACTGGGGCTCACTTCGGGGTGTGTGCGAAAGCAGGTGGTGGCGCCTTGAAGGAGCCCCGGAGCTTCACTCTGACCCAGAGCCCTGAACCTTAAGGGGTTTAGGGTTTAGGGTTTAGGGTTTAGGGTTTAGGGTTTAGGGTTTAGGGTTTAGGGTTTAGGGGTTAGGATGGGTTCCTTCAAGGATGCTAGAGGGTTTAGGGTTTAGGGCTTAGGGCTTTCGGTTTAGGGCTTTAGGGTTTAGGGTTTAGGCTGCGGTTCTCTAAATTAGGGTCCCTTTTAGGTCCCCAATATAGTACGGTGCCCTGATAAAAAGGATCTTAAAAGGCACCCTAATTTAGAGAACTACCCAAATGGTAAAACAAAAGCAGCAACAAGCCGTTTCACAACCATTTTTTGGAACTCCTCCAACCCTAGACCCTGAAGCTTAAACCCTCAACCCTCAACCCTAAACCCTAAACCTTAAAATCCTCAACCCTAAACCCTCAACTCTAAACCCTCAACCCTAAACCCTCAACCCTAAACCCTCAACCCTAAACCCTCAACCCTAAACCCTCAACCCTAAACCCTCAACCCAGGTCAAGAATCTGTTGCTGGTTCTGGGGCCCGGCCCGGGCCTGTCTTCCTGCCCAAACAAGGGAGGAGGTCATTGGCACTACCAGACACTGGGCGGTTTAGGCCTTTAGGGTTTGAGGGTTTCGGGTTTAGGGTTTAGGCCTTTAGGGTTTGGGGGTTTGGGGTAGTTTCAAGGTATAGCTTCGAAGCCATGACGCCAGGTCGCAGCCCCAAACATTAAACCCCGAAGCCTAGGCCCTAAATTCTAACACCCAAAACCCTCAAACCGAGGACTGTGCTTGCCGCGAAGTGGCGCGTCGTGAAGATGATCTGCCAGAGGCTCAACCCTAAACCCTGAACATCCCTAAGCCCTAAACCCTAAACTTTGAGCCCTAAACCCCAAACCCTAAACCCTAAACCCTAAACCCCAAACCCTAAACCCTAAACTCTAAACCCTGAACCCTAAAAGGCTCACAGTTCCTGTCGTGGACGCCACGGCGGCCAGGGAGTCACAGGACTCCCTCGATTCACTGGGCTCCTCGAAGAGCTTCTGGGCTTGTGAGTGAGAAGGAGTTGAGCTTCAAGTTACCTTAATAGAGGGATCCTTTAAGGGTTCCAAACGCGTTCTATAGGGGGTTCAGTGAGGGGTTTAAGTTACCACAATAGGGGTCTATAGTGAAGAACATGTTTTTTTTTTATATTCTCGTAATTTAAACTCAAAGCCCTAACAAGCACCCAGGTTTGCAGGAGATGAGGAGGAACTTGATGAGAGATGTGCGACAGAGTATCACCAGGATGCCTTATACCGAGATGCACCTGCGGAACGTCAGCGTGCAGTTCGAGGATCCCGAGTCACGCTTGGGCTATGGATGCTTCCTCCTTGGCATGAAGTTAGACTCCCTGAAGCTGGACTGGCACCAGGGCCGCCATTGCCACGCTCAGCTGGCACGCTGGTCTCTGTATGCAGAGCCCTTTGCGGCAGCAGACAGCAGTGGAGTTCTCCTGCGATCGAAGCCTAGAAAAGTGGCTCAGGATATGGTGAAGCTGAACAGCGCTGAGCGGCTTCGTTCCTGGGCTTTCGCCAGCATGGAGGACCATCGTCGAAATCCTCTGAAGCAGCTCCGGCGAATAGAGCGCTTTGCGGACAGGCACAACATCCTGACGGTGCAGCATGTGACCATTCGAGGACTGTGAGTCGAAGAAAGAGCTACAAGGGTTTGAGGGGCTGCTTCGGATGTTTGTTTAATCTAGGAGCCTTCATATTGATTAGAATAGGGTTGGGTGTATATTATACTATA